TGAGTAGCTGGGATTACAGGCACGCGCCACCATGCCCAGCTAATTTTTTGTATTTTTAGTAGAGACGGGGTTTCACCATGTTGACCAGGATGGTATCAATCTCTTGACCTCGTGATCCACCCGCCTCGACCTCCCAAAGTGCTGGGATTACAGGCTTGAGCCACCGTGCCCGGCCTGTGTTCAGATTTTATAAAATTTAACAGTTGGGAAGATAGATTGACATACCCAAGTTGTTTGAAACATATTTAAAAGTTTTCTGGTTGGGAGCAGTGGCTCATGCCTGAAATCCCAGCGCTTTGGGAGGCTGAGAGGCGGGAGGATCACTTGAGGTCAGGAGTTCGAGACCAGCCTGGCTAACATGGCAAAACCCCGTCTCTACTAAAAATACAAAAATTAGCTGGGCGTGGTGGCGGGTGCCTGTAGTCCCAGCTACTTTGGAGGCTAAGACAGGAGAATCACTTGAGGTCAGGAGTTCAAGACCATCCTGGCCAACATGGTGAAACCCTGTCTCTATTAAAAATACAAAAAGTAGCTGGGCATAGTGGCGGGCACATGTAATCCCAGGTTCGTGGGAGGCTAAGGCAGGAGAACTGCATGAACCCACGAGGTGGAGGTTGCAGTGAGCTGAGATGGCAACACTGCACTCCAGGGTGTCACAGCAAGACTCCATCTCAAAAATAAACAAAAAATTTAAAAAGATCTGTAGGAAAGGGCAGATCCTGAAAAGGGAAAGATCTATAGAAAGGGCAGAGGATCTCAGGAAAGGGTAGCTGTCACATTGAGATGCAGCTCAGGGATTGGGACGTGGCTGGTTTCAAAGGTGACAAGGGTTCAGGCTTCAAGGATTTGGAGCTCTATCCTGCAAGCAACAGTGAGTCGAGGAAGGGTTTTGAACAGGGAAGGGGCAATACATGAACAGAGGGGCAACTGAGGCTGAGACTGGTGGGCAGCATAGCAGGACCTTGAACCCAGGTCTTGCTGGCTCCAAAGCCTGTCTGTGACCTTAGACTGCAGCCATTAACAACGAGGGAAAGGGGCCAGGTGTGGTGGCTCATGCCTGTAATCCCAGCACTTTGGGAGGCTGAGGCCGGTGGATCACCTGAGGTCAGGCGTTTGAGACCAGCCTGGCCAACATGGCGAAACCCTGTCTCTACTAAAAATACCAAAATTAGCCAGGGGTGGTGGCGGGGGTGCCTGTAATCCCAGCTATTTGGGAGGCTAAGGCAGGAGAATTGCTTGAACGCAGGAGGCAGAGGTTGCAGTGAGCCAAGATTGCGCCACTGTACTCCAGCCTGGGTGACAGAGCGAGACTCTTGTTACAAAAAAACAAAAGAAACAACACAATGAGGGAAAGGTAGGCATACACCCTACTGTCTGCTGGATACCACAGTCAGCACCCGCTCCTACCTAGTCCCCAGGAAAGCCTGAGAGGGGTCTGCTGTTAACATCCCCCCATTACAGATGACAAAGCCAAGGCCTGAAGAAAAACTGAGGCTCATTCTGTGCTAGACACTGCTCCTAACGTGTTGCATATATTTATCTTTCAATCAAAGCAAGCACCCTGTAATGTAAGGTCGGGGCCGTTAAGATCCCTATTATGTTTCATGTTTTTTTTGTTTTTTGAAAGCAATTCTCAGTGTGTTGTTGCCCAGGCTGGAGTGCAGTGGTGCGATCTTGGCTCACTGCAACCTCTGCCTCCTGGGTAGGAGTGATTCTCCTGCCTCAGCCTCCCAAGTAGCTGAGACCACAAGCGTGTGCTACCACGCCCAGCTAATTTTTGTATTTTCAGTAGAGACGGGCTTTTACCATGTTGGCCTGGCTGGTTTCGAACTCCTGACCTCAAATGATTCATCATCCCAGCCTCCCAAAGTGCTGGGATTGCAGGCATGAGCCACTGTGGCCGGATCATGTATATTTTAAGGCTATTAAAAAAAAAAAATCTGTGTTGTTCAAAAGAGGAAACAGGCATAAGGAGGTTGAGAGACCCACTGGAGGTGGCAGAGGTATAGCAGCAGCTAGCATTTATTGTGCACCAACTGCATGCCAAATACTGTCCTATGGGCTTTGGATGGTTTAACTCACCATCATGGCAGTCCTCAGAGATAGGCACTTTTCTGCTCATCTCCTTCCTATAGATGGGGAAACTGAGGCACGGAGCAGAGAAGTCACTTGCCCAGGGTGCTCAGCTAGTGAGCCAAGGTGCCTTGGATTCAAACCAGTATTCAGCTTTCTTTGGAATATCAAGGAGGGTGGCGCAGTGGGGATGCTGGGGCAGGTTCGGCTCCATCACCCGCTAGACCCGCCACCCCTCGCCCTCTGCAGGTGAAGCTGTGTGACTTTGGCTTTGCGCGCATCATCGGTGAGAAGTCGTTCCGCCGCTCCGTGGTGGGCACGCCGGCCTACCTGGCGCCCGAAGTGCTGCTCAACCAGGGCTACAACCGCTCGCTGGACATGTGGTCGGTGGGCGTGATCATGTACGTCAGCCTCAGCGGCACGTTCCCTTTCAACGAGGACGAAGACATCAATGACCAGATCCAGAATGCCGCCTTCATGTACCCGGCTACCCCCTGGAGCCACATCTCAGCTGGAGGTGCCTGGGGCCCGCCTATCCCGTGGGTGGGTGGATGGTTGTGGGGTGGGGCTGGAGGAGTGGGCGGGGCCAAGGGACGGGGTGGACCTGGAAACAGCCTGGCACCTTGGGGGTGGAGCCTAGTGCTGGGGCGGTCCTACCAGAGAGGTGGGGCCACAGGAGGGGCGGTCCTGTAAACGGTGGGCTGGGACTCAGGCCTACACTAGGTTACTTGGGCTGGAAACCAAGTGTCCCAGAAGCGCTAAGGAGGACACTGGAGCCTTAGGGGACTGAGTGAGACTTGGCTTGTCTAGGGTGGGACCAGGAGAGGGACTGGACTTGAGGGTGCCAAAGGGCGGGGTGACCAGGAGAAGGGGCCGAGCTTCTCAAGGCATTGGCTGGGACCTGGAGGCTTTGGGTTTATGACCCCAAAAGGGTCAGCCATGCAAAAAGGAGGCACCAGTGGGTAGGACTGAGGGACAAGGGCGTGGCTACTTTGCTGGGTACTGGGGCCATGACTTGGGTGAAGATGGGCCTGAAGCCTGGGGTGAAGCTGTGGCTCACGCCTGTAATCCCAACACTTTGGAAGACCAAGGCAGGCAGACTGCTTGAGGTCAAGAGTTTGAGACCAGCCTGGCCAACATGGTGAAACCCCATCTCTATTAGAAATACAAAAAGTTAGCTGGATGGGGTGGTGCACACCTGTATTCCTAGCTACTCAAGAGGCTGAGGCAGGAGACTCTCATGAACCTGGCAGGTAGAGGTTGCAGTGAGCCAAGATTGTGCCACTGCACTCTAGCCTGGGCAACAGAGCGAGACTCTGTCTCAAATAAATAGCACAAGTGTAATTGTGTGTACCTTTGTATAGCAAAAGGAAAAAAAGTGGTGACACAGGGGAATGGGAAAATGGAAGAAGGGAATTGGTGAAGAGAAGGAGCCAGTGTGCACATGGGTGGGCAAGAGGAGACAAATTTGTAAGGTAATGAGGAAACGGGTGGGTGAGTGGTTGGCACAGGTGAGGCCTCTGAGTCATCTGAGCTAGTGCAGAAGGAAGGTGTTGATGGCAGGCAGGCAGGCAGGCAGGCTAGGGGGGCCTATTTGGAGAAGGAATGACCCTTTGTCCTGCAGCGCTTGAACTGTTTCTCTCTTTGCTGTGCAGCCATCGACCTCATCAACAACCTGCTGCAGGTGAAGATGCGCAAACGCTACAGTGTGGACAAATCTCTCAGCCATCCCTGGTTACAGGTGATGCAGGGGGCAGGGCTGGAGGAAGGGATGGAACTAGACCACTTACTGGCTAGGCAGGTAGTGAAGGATGTAGGCTTCCTTGGGTCTGGAATGTGGCTAGGCCTCCCATTGGCTGGGCGCAGGAGGAGGGGGTGGAGCTAAATGTCTACTGGCTGGGTGGGTTGCAGAGGGTGTGGCTTCACTTTCACTGGTACCCAGATCTCACTGGCAGAGCAGATGGCATCCAGGCACTGCTCCAATGCAGACCCCAAGCTAACCCCAGTTCTCTCGGGCCCAGGAGTACCAGACGTGGCTGGATCTCCGAGAACTGGAGGGGAAGATGGGCGAGCGATACATCACGCACGAGAGTGACGACGCGCGCTGGGAGCAGTTTGTGGCAGAACATCCGCTGCCCGGGTCCGGGCCACCCACGGACAGGGATTTCGCTGGGGCCCATCCACCACAGGACCATGACATGCAGGGGCTGACAGAGCGCATCAGCGTCCTCTGAGGCCCTGTGCCCTCGTCTGGCGGCTGCCCTCCACAGCAGCTCTTCAGAGGATCCCAGCAATGAACTGTTGTAGGGAAAGTGGCTTCCTGTCTAAACTGGATGGGACACGTGGAGTGGGGGGAGGGAGCTATTTCTAAGGCCCCTCCCTGTCTCCCCAGCAATTAAAACGGACTCATCTCTGGCCCCATGGCCTTGGTCTCCAGAGCACACAGCACTCTTGAATCATTAATTAGTCTGTTGTACCAAGATGGGGTCCATGTGGAAGGAGGACTGCCTGAAAAGAGGAAGCATGGAAGGGGTGGGGAAGGAGGACTAGCTAGGGTAGTGGATACAGAGGATTGCCAGGAGAGAAGACTACGCGGAGGGAGGAGTAATAGAGGAGTTGGGAATAGGTGAGATGGAAGGAATGTGACTGGAGGGTAGAGAACTTGGAGAAAAGGAAGCAATCTAATGGTTTGTGATGACTGAATTTTTATTTGGTGGTGTTTTTCCTGCTAATCACAACTATTAATAACAATTCAGGCTGGGCGCAGTGGCTCACACCTGTAATCCCAGCACTTTGGGAGACTGAGGCAGGCAGATCCCTTAGATCTCGGGAGTTTGAGACCAGCCTGGCCAACATGATGAAACTCCCTTCTACAAAAAGTAACAAAAACTAGCTGAGTGTGGTAGCTTGTGCCTGTGGTCCCAGATACATGGGAGGCTGAGGCTGGAGGATCGCTTGAGCCCAGGAAGCAGAGATTGCAGTGAGCCAAGATCACATCACTGCCCTCCAGCTTGGGCAACAAAGTGAGACCCTGTCTCAAAAATAAACTACTAAAATAAAATGCAGTTAGCTCAAGTCTGATCCATAGTAGAAAACTGGTATGTAGGCTGGGCGCGGTGGCTCAAGCCTGTAATCCCAGCACTTTGGGAGGCCGAGGCGGGTAGATCACGAGGTCAAGAGATCGAGACCATCCTGGTCAACATGGTGAAACCCCATCTCTACCAAAAATACAAAAAATTAGCTGGGCATGGTGGTGCATGCCTATAATCCCAGCTACTCAGGAGGCTGAGGCAGGAGAATTGCCTGAACCCAGGAGGCGGAGGTTGTGGTGAGCCGAGATGGCACCATTGCACTCCAGCCTGGGTAACATGAGTGAAACTCTGTCTCAAAAAAAAAAAAAAAAAAGAAAGAAAGAAAACTGATATGTAACATTTAGTATTTTTACTTTGGGAGGCCGAGGTGGGTGGATCACGAGGTCAGGAGATTGAGACCATCCTGGCTAACACGGTGAAACCCCGTCTCTACTAAAAATACAAAAAATTAGCCAGGCATGGTGGCATGCACCTGTAATCCCAGCTACTAGGGAGGCTGAGGCAGGAGAATCGCTTGAACCTGGGAGGCAGAGGTTGCAGTGAGCTGAGATCACCCCACTGCACTCCAGCCTGGATGACAGAGCAAGACTCTGTCTCAAAAAAAAAAAAAAATTATTTTATATTGATGTGATGACTTCTCTATATGCTGAATATATAAAGAAGTATATATTCACTCATTTCTTTGTCTCACTGAGCTGGGTCATGCTGAGGACTCCCTGGGGTTCACCATCCAGTGGAGAGACATACCTGTCCCTAGACAGTGATGACCCAGAATGGGAAGGGCAGGGCTGGCGGAGTTTGGGAGGCCTGGGCAGCCTAGAATGAGCTCTCAGGGGTCAGAGAGGGTGGGTGGTCAGAGGTGACCTCTTAAGCTTAACCTTGGCCTTGAAAGACTGAAAGCAGAGGGAACATGTATCCACCTCTCTCTACCTTTGACTCCAGCCCTTCAGGTCCCCAGTTCTCCAATAACAGCCTAAAACATGGTCCTCCACCTTCCACAGCTGAAGGTGAACCATGGGAGCATGCACCTGAACTCAAAAAATTAAAAAATAAAGACTTACCTGAAAGCTGGGCATGGTGGCATGTGACTGTATTCCCAGCCACTTAAGAGGCTGAGGTGGGAGGATGCTGGAGTCCAGGAGTTCAAGTCCAGTTTGGGCAACATAGCCTAAGAAAACGGGAAAACGAAAGAATTTAGCAGCCAATTTAGGCTAATCTTGAGAGCTTACTCTCTGGGGTTTTCCAATTTGATTTGTGTCAACTTGTCCATCTGATGGTTGGTTCCAGAGCTGCAGCTTTTTTTTTTTTTGGAGGCAGGTTCTTACTCTTGCCCAGGTCAGAGAGCAGTGGTGTGATCACAGCTCACTGCAGCCTTGACCTCCTGGACTCCAGTGATCCTCCTACCTCAGCGTCCTGAGCAGGTGGGACTACAGGCATGTGCCACCATGCCCAGCTAATTTTTTGTATTTTTTGTGGAGGTTTTACCATGTTGCCCAGGCTGGTCTCGCACTCCTGGGCTCAAGCAATCTACCTGCCTAGGCCTCCCAAAGTGCTGGGATTATATGCATGAGCCACTGCACCTGGCTGAGCTGCAGCTCTTTGATTTGAAGATGCTAAATGAGCCTCAGTAAACGAAGGTATTCAAATGAGCAGGATACCTCTGAGGTATACGTAGTCGAAGCTAAGACTATTGGGGAAAGTCTCTTAGACTCCATCCCCAATGCCTATGCTTCTATTTAGTCTAAGGTCTAGAAGTGTAGGCAACAGAGAGATGAATCCATCTCCTCTGACAGGCCCAGGCTAGAAAATGTATAGAAAAGACTATCAGCCTTGACCTGCTCCTGTCTTGCCACTAGTTAATATCCCGAGACCAGAAACAAGAGACATGATTAAAAAACATCAAAACTCCTCAATTACAGAATTCCGAGATGGCGCAAACATCATGAGGTGCCATGAAAGATAAAATCAGCGCACCTATAATCCCAGCACTTGGGGAGGCCAAGGCGGGCAGATCACAAGGTCAGGAGTTCGAGACCAGGCTGGCTAAAACGGTGAAATCCCACCTCTACTGAAAATACAAAAATTAGCTGGGTGTGGTGGCATGTTCCTGTCGTCTCGGTTACTCAGAAGGCTGAGGCAGGAGTATCCCTTGAACCCGGGAGGTGGAGACTGTGGTGAGCTGAGATCGTGCCACTGCACTCCAGCCTGGACAACAGAATGAGACTCCATCTCAAAGAAAGAAAATATGAAATTAAATCCACAATGAAAACTTGGGGCCCTACCACTTAAATCATTAGAGACAAAAAGTTTATCCTATTGGGACCCCTGGAACCACAAAACCTAATTTTGCTGGTTAGAGACAGGGTCTCGCTCTGACCACTGCACCCAGGCTTCCGTGCAGTGGTATGATCCTAGCTCACTACAGCCTCAAACTACTGGGTGGGTTCAAGCCATTCTCCCCCTCAGCCTCTTGAGTAGGTGGGATTACAGGCATGAGCCACCACACCTGGCTATTTTTCTGTTTGTTTTTTAATTTTTAATTTTTAATGTATTTATTTTTTTTGAGATGGAGTTTCACTCTGTTGCCCAGGCTGGAGTGCAGTGGCATGATCACAGCTCACTGCAGCCTCAACCTCCTGGGCTCAAGTGATCCTCCCACCTCAGCCTCCTTGAGCAGCTGTGATTGCAGGCACAAGCCACCATGCCTAATTTTTGTATTTTTAGTAGAGATAGGGTTTCACCATGTTGGCCAGGCTGGTCTCAAACTCCTGACCTCAAGTGATCTGCCTGCCTCAGTCTCCCAAAGTGCTGGGATTACAGGCATAAGCCACCATGCCCGGGCGTGTTTTTTATTTGTTATAGAGATGAGATCTCACAATGTTGACTAGGCTGGTCTTGAACATCTGGGTTTAAGAGATCCTCCTGCCTCCACATCTCAAAGTGCTGAGATTACAGGCGTGGGTCACTGCAGAGCCTCAAAACCTAATCTCATAGACACTTGTATATACTGTAAAGAAAACGGACATTGGACTTGACACTATTTAGCTTTGACATGCAAAAGGAATTTGAGTCTAAGATTCAGTCTCCCAGTGACTCACTTCCAGCCAACTCTCTCCTCTGTGTCTATAAGCACTACTTAACCTTCAGGGGGAAATGACCATCTCTCCCCTTAATGAGCACCCTGCCAGCGTTTTTGTAGACAAGGGCCACACGCTCTGCAGTGCAGTGGTGTGATCACAGCTCACTGCAACCTCTGCCTCCCAGATTCAAGCGATTCTCCTGCCTCAGCCTCCTGAGTAGCTGGGATCACAGGTACATGCCACCACGCCTGGCTAATTTTTGTATTTTTAGTAGAGACGGGGTTTCACCATGTTGGCCAGGCTGGTCTCAAACTCCTGACCTCAAATGATCTGCTTGCCTTGGCCTCCCAAAGTGCTGGGATTACAGGTGTGAGCCACTTTGGGAGGTCAAGTGGGGGAGTGGATCATAAGGTCAGAAGTTCAAGACCAGCCTGACGAACATAATGAAACCCTGTCTCTTTAGCCAGGTGTGGTGCCAGGTGCCTGTAATCTCAGCTACTCGGGAGGCTGAGGCAGGAGAATTGCTTGAACCTGGGAGGCGGAGGTTGCAGTGAGCCAATATTGTGCTACTGCACTCCAGCCTGGGCGACAGTTCGAGACCCTGTCTCAAAACAAACAAATTTCTGGCATTTAAACTATGTCTGTAGTGCTTTGTTATGGCCACCTTAGCAAATGAAGACACTGCCGGAACAAATCACCACGAATGTAGTGCCTTAAAACAATAGAGATGTGTGCTCGCTTCAGCAGCACAAATACTAAAATTGGAACGATACAGAGAAGATTAGCACGGCTCCTGTGCAAAGATAACACGAAAATTCATGAAGCGTTCCATATTTTTATATTAAAAAAAATAGAGATTTATTGACTTAGAAATGGGCGGAAAAAACCAATAGAGATTTAATTTTTTGAGACAGGGTCTTGTTCCGTCGCCCAGGCTGGAGGGCACTGGCACAATCACAGCTCACCGCAGCATCAGATTCGTGGGCTCCTGATCCTCCTCCTAAATAAGTGGGGCCACAGATGTGCTCCATCATGCCTGGCTAATTATTTTATTTATTTTTATTTTTTTGTAGAGACGTGGTCTCACTATGTTGCCCAGGCTGGTCTCAAAGTCCTGGCCTCAAGCGATCCTCCCACCTCAGCCTCCCAAAGCTTTGGAATTACAGGTGTGAGCCACTGTGACTGGCCCGGCCTCTAATTCTATATTTACATATTTTTCTGATTCTAATGTTCCTGCCTCCATCTTATAAGGAAGCTCGTGATTATACTGG